GGCGGCAAACGCGCCGGCCCCCCCACCCAGTATCACCCCAGCCGCTTCTCCCTCCTCCGGCGCTGACCGTTAAGCCGGCGCCGAGAGCAGCCCCGGACCCGATCACGGCACCGGCCCTGACACCGGCCCCAACACCGCCCCCGAGTCACCGCTCTCCAACCCCGGCTCCCCTTACTCCTCCGCATCACACGGCATCACCATCTCACCACTCTTCAGAGCCGGAACATACTCCCTTTGTGCACCATACCTCGGGGTCTTCCATTCCGGTTTCATCTTCTCCGGAGGACACAGTGAACCCCGACGACAGCTCTCCTCCAGACAACCTCCATCAATTCCAAGAATTATTTAAGCGGGTAGCTATTACACAGGAGATTCCGCTACAAGAGCTCAAAGATAAGCAGCACAAGCTTTTTAGGAATCTCCAACCGCGACATAGTTCACGCCTCGCCATCCCTCTCGACGAAGGCATCCTGGAACTGGCTGATGAGGTGTGGCATGCTCCAGCGTCAGCCCTTCCCACCAACAAAAGAGCTGACAAGAAATATTTCGTGCCACCAAAGGGCATGGAATTCCTCTTTGCCCATCCACAGGCTAACTCTTTAGTAGTCGATGCAGCTCAACAGAGATCTAGAGCCCCTCACCTCAAACACCAGGGCTCTGATAAAGACGTAAGGAGGCTCAACGTTCTGGGCAGGAAGGTATACACCTCAGCGACTTTACTCCTTAGAATCGCCAACTACTCGGCGCATCTCTCCAATCATACCTTTGATACATTTTCACACCTCACTCCTCTCATGGATCATCTCCCCGACTCAAAAAGATCGATCCTGAGATCAGTCATCCAAGAGGGCTACACATCAGTGAGAACATCCCTCCAGATGGCCATGGACATGGCTGATACTGCTGCTTGTTCTGCCGCTACGGCTATTGTTATGCGTAGAGCTTCTGTCCTCCAAGCGGCAGGAGTTCCAAAGGAACTACAGACAAAAGTTGAGGACTTACCCTTCGACAAGGTTAAGCTCTTTGCAGAGACCACGGACACAATCCTGCACTCCTCTAAAGACTCTCGGACAACCCTGCGAACTTTGGGGATGTGTACGCCCCCCTTTAAGAGACGTCGGTACTCACCCTGTCAGCGCAGATATGATTACTCCTACATTAGACACCAGTGGCAACAACAGCACCAACAACAGAGGCCTTTTGACAATCAGTGTTCTCGCCAGAGGCCTCAACGACGCCGAAACCCAAACGGCAGAACGAACATGCCGTCCAACAGCAAACAACAGATTTGATGTGTTGGTCGAGGGTGAGCACACAGCCACAGGCAACACCATGAATCGTTCATAAACTCATAGACTTTAAGGTCAGAAGGGACCATTATGATCATCTAGTCTGACCCCCTGCACAGTGCAGGCCACAGAATCTCACCCACCCCTCCCAGAATAATCCTCTCACTTATATCTCAGATATTGAAGCCTTCAAATACTAAAAGGGAAAGTGGGTTCTCATAGGATAAAGCCAGAATCAGAGATCCAAGGAGGATTTTAACCTATGCTAAAAATGAGCAATTTATGGTTGCCCTTCTCACCTAGGTTTGATAGATTGTATTTCTAAGGCATCTCTCTGGAATTTCATATGGAGGTGACAGAGGTTTGAGAAACAACAGGACCGTGTGGAGGCTGGATGCTGAGGAGTCCTGCAGTTGCTTGTGTTCCCATGCTGTAAATATGAACGGGATAAACATGCTATAGACCAAAACCTGATGCTGTGACAGTTAATCTTTTAAAGGATTTGCGAGGGTAGTGGGGCCAGAACAGAGGGTGAAGAATGCAGGAATCTACTGAGAATGAAATATGGGGGAAGTATATAGCTGGGGAGCTGGAGAGACATAGACTTTATAGACTTTAAGGTCAGAAGGGACCATTATGATCATCTAGTCTGACCCCCTGCACAGTGCAGGCCACAGAATCTCACCCACCCCTCCCAGAATAATCCTCTCACTTATATCTCAGATATTGAAGCCTTCAAATACTTTGAAGACCCCAAGATGCAGAGAATCCTCTAGCTGTGATCTGTACCCCATGCTACAGAGGAAGGCGAACCCAGCTATTCCACCACCGTCTAAGACCCTTTCTACATCAATGGGAAAAAATCACCATGGACAAATGGGTCCTCGAGATCGTTCAGTTCGGCTATCCTATCCCTCTCATAGCCGTCCCACCAACCACCCGGTCCCTCTTCAGGGACCCCTCTCACGAAACCATCCTCAGACTAGAGGTCGACCACCTTCTTTCTCTGGGTGCCATAGAGCCAGTTCCGAAGGACTTCAGGAATAGGGGCTTTTACTCTCACTATTTCCTCACCCAGAATAGGTCCGGAGGCTGGCGCCTTATCTTAGACCTCCATCGTCTGAACAAATACCTTAGGAAGCAGCGATTCAAAATGACAACACTAGCTGCCATAATCCCTATTTTAAATCCACAGGACTGGTTTGCCGCCCTCGACCTCCAGGACGCCTGTTTCCACGTCCCTATCCACCCTGTTCACAGAAGGTTCTTGCGCTTCGTCGTGGTGAAGGACCATTTCCAATACAAGGTCCTCCCCTTCGGGCTATCCTCAGCCCCCAGGGTGTTCTCAAAGGTCCTATCCGTGGTCACGGCCTTTCTCCGATGCCAAGGGGTGCTCATCTTCCCTTATCTGGACGACTGCCTGCTCAAAGGCGCTTCGGCACACGAGGTCTCCCACATGGTTCACCTCACGATGCAAGTCTTTCAATCGCTCGGACTCCTCCTCAACGAACAGAAGTCTGTCTTGCATCCCACTCAGGACATCGAGTTCATTGGGGCCCGTCTGGACTCACTCACTGGCAGAGCATTCCTACCTTTGCGGAGGTTTCAAGCCATCCAGGACCTCATTTGCACCATCACCGTGAGCCCCACCGTCCCACTCATCACATGTCTCAGACTCATGGGCCTGACTGAACCCATGTGAATCTCTCTGCTCTGCCGCAGTCCAACACGTCCTAGTACAAAGTAGACGACAAACCACGAGGAAAACTTACCTTCACAAGTGGTGCAGATACTCCTCCTGGTGTTCCTCGTGACTTGGCGCGGACCCCTCCTTTATGCATTTCCCCCCATACCTCTCATTCCCAAGGTCCTTCAGAAGCTGAAGGCGGACAGGGCTACGCTAATCCTCATAGCCCCAGATTGGCCTCGCCAGCACTGGTTTCCATTCCTGCACCGCCTCTCTGTGTGGACACCAATCGACCTCCTCACACAAGACCGAGGATGCCTGAAACATCCCCAGATACAAATGCTGAACCTAACAGCATGGTTCCTAACTAGCTGAACCCATGTGAATCTCTCTGCTCTGCCGCAGTCCAACACGTCCTAGTACAAAGTAGACGACAAACCACGAGGAAAACTTACCTTCACAAGTGGTGCAGATACTCCTCCTGGTGTTCCTCAAACCACCACGATCCGACACGTCCGTCCATTTCCTCCGCACTGCACCTAAAAAGCAAGGGTCTTGCGTTAGCCTCCATCAGGGTGCACCTCGCAGCGATATCAGCATTCACACCACCGATGGATGGCGTTTCTATCTTCGCCCATCCTACAACTAAACGATTTCTCAAGGGCCTTATCAATATGGACCCACCATGCAACCCAGTCCCTCCTGTATGGAGCCTGGACGTAGTACTCGATGTCCTAATGAGGCCACCGTTCGAGCCGCTGGCAACCGTATCCTTACAATTCCTCACTCTGAAAACGGTTTTCCTGCTCGCAATAACCTCTGCACGCAGGGTTAGCGAGCTTTCCGCCATGATGGCCATTCCACCATATACGATTTTCCGTAGCGATGGGGTAGTCTTGAGATTACATCCGAGGTTCCTATCCAAGATTGTCTCCAATTTTCACGTTAATGAACCAGTCATCTTGCCAACCTTTTTCCCGAAGCCCCGAGACGCGGCCCTACATTCCTTGGACATCCGCAGGGCCTTAGCGTTCTACATAGATCGTACTAAATCGTTCAGGCTTACGGACCATTTATTTGTCTCCCTGGCACACAGGTCAAAGGGTCAACGTCTGTCTTCCCAGAGAATCTCCAATCTCGTAACCGCATGCATAGTGCAATCGTACGCAACGAGAGGGTTGCTCCTTCCGTCCCAACCACATGCTCATTCCACTAGAGCCATGGCCACATCTACAGCGTTCCACAGAGGCGTATCTCCGAAGGACATTTGCAGAACGGCGACCTGGTCCTCTCATGGGACCTTCGCTAAGCATTATTCTATCTCTCTCTCTCACTCAGATGGGGCAGTGGTGACTGCGATGCTCTCCACGGCGGATAAATAGGGTCTCCTTGCCCTCCTTCCGTTTTTGGCGACTACTGCTACGCAGTCACCCATAGTGGAGCACCCGCGGGGACATCTCCGAAGAAGAAAGCGAAGTTACTCACCTCCGGTGCAGTAACTGTTGTTCTTCGAGGTGGTGTCCCCGCCGGTGTTGCCACCTACCACTACGCAATCACCCATAGTGGAGCACCCGCGGGGACATCTCCGAAGAAGAAAGCGAAGTTACTCACCTCCGGTGCAGTAACTGTTGTTCTTCGAGGTGGTGTCCCCGCCGGTGCTCCACTACCCGCCCTCCTCCCCTCTTCGGAGTCCTCTCTCTCTCTCTGCTTGTCTCTTACAGACTCCGAGGCGGTTTCGAGGAACTGGCGGAGGGGCCGGACCACGCGACAGAAAGAGCGCGAAAGCCGCGAGCCTGCGGCACATGCGTGGTTCGGCCAGACACTGCTAATGACAAGTCTCCGTCTGCGGCGCCGGGGCAAGCCCAGCACCCATAGTGGAGCACCCGCGGGGACACCACCTCGAAGAACGACAGTTACTGCACCGGAGGTGAGTAACTTCGCTTTTTACACAGAAGCCAAGTTTAAGTTAACTAATAGCAATTTCTAGCTGATTTCAGTCTATCATATATGGACAATTAAGTTGGCAGTGTATTTGACCAGTCTCTCATATATAAAGCATTTATTTTCTTTTCATGATGCTCGGGCTGTATACTGTTATCTTCCGGTATCCTTGTGGTGTGAAATCTTCTTGTGTCTTTGGTCTGTTGGAATATAATCTTTAACAGCTTAAGTTAGTTAACATAATAAAGGGTTTTTTGTTTGTTTTACATTTTTCTTGTTTTTTTACTAACCTAAATTTAATGCACAGATTAATTTAGTTTGTTTATAATGTAATAGGGCAATTGTTATATAGACATTGATTTTCACTTGAGGTACATCTCTAATATTTTATACTAAACATAATGCTTAGCTACTAAAATAGATACTTAGAATCTTCCCTAAGAAGGTGTGTTGCTTTTCCTTGCTGAACACTGTCTGACCAAAAGTGTTAGCAAATAACTCTAAAAAGCTTGGTAAAAATTAATTTGCTTGTGATACCAGTTTCTGTTCTGTTAACTGTTTGAAAGCACAAATGCTAACTATCACTACTTCCCTTTAACATAATGTAACAAAGTGTATGAAATTAAACTAAGTATATAATTAGACCAGAATAAATGTTTAAATACAGGTCTATGGAAACCCTTTGAGGATATTAAACTTTCATGATGCTTTGTTGTGCTTAGGAGTCCAAGGTGGAAGCCTGTTGAAATTGTTTGGGTAGCTTCATGTATAAATGGTTATTTTTAAACATTATTTCTATGACATTCTTAAAACTATATGCACTAGCTATTGGGCCACAATGTTATAGATGTAGGGATTACGGTCAACATTTTTTAAATCAGGTGATCGAACATCTCTGTCTATAGGATAATTTATTCAGAACCTGCACCTCCCACAGATTTTAATTCCTGTATTTCTCAGTGTGTCACTTTCCCTGTCAATGGAATTTGTCAATGCCAAATTCTTGTGACAAAAGAACAGATTGATTTTAAATATGCATAAAGTGTTATCTGCTTTCACTAGGCTTTCTAGTTCCTTTTCCGGAGTATGGCGGGTGGTTTCAAATAACACAGATGCTAGTTAGGTCTGTGCTCCTCCCAACCCTGCTCTACGTCAGTTTATTCTTTACTACCCATGTCAGCCCCTGTCTTATCCTCTTGCAGCATTTTTCAACCCCCCATTCATAAGTATGCTTAGCATTGCTGCATTCTTGAGCTATTCAACTAGCATTAAGAATAAACATTCATACTTGCATGTACAACTTGGCCAATTGCACATGCTAATGTCATTCCCATTTCCCCAAGCACACAAATGTTTTGAAGAAAAAATCAGTTACCTGTTAGCACAGCCAGCTCACACATAGGTTGCGTGGCATTCTGCCATACCTGAAACTGGGGTCGTGATTCCAGTCTTAGAGATGCCTTCAAGGTAGTTACATTTCACTTGTACAGCACTTTGCGAGGATGCCCCACCATGCAGCTCCAGCCAGGGCCACTGGAGAACCAGCCACCTGCCATGTGGCCCGCAGCTCCAGCCCTAGGGAAGGGCTGAAGCTAGGGCCAGGGCTGCATGGTGGCTGCCCTGCTGCTCCTCGGGTGGGACAGCTGCCTGCCACGCAGCCCTGCCCTATAGCAGCTGAGCATCTACTGCACAGCTCTGCTGACGAGGTGGGCTGGAGACAAATTCTTGGTGCATGCCCATGCAGGCGCGTATCTTAGAGGGAAATCTGTTCAGAATCTTAGAACGTTTGTGTAGAGAAGCTTCTAACGCAGCACTACTCAACACATGGCCTGTGGGCCACATGCGGCCAGCGGCCCATTTGTTTGCAATTCGGTTTGGATTACGTGGGGCTCAACACATGGCCTGCTGGTGGGAGTCAAAACAAAAAAGTAGTCAGTATAATGGTCTTCTGTTAATATGTGTTGTAGTAGTTAAATTCCTGGTCTGTCATTGCTCATTAAAAGTGCTGTCATAAGGGTGGAAATCGGGTAAATATTGCATTTTATTAATATGAGCCAAACTGACTTGAATGGGGCCTGTGTGTTTTGTAGTCTTGCCTTAATCTTTGTATTCATGCCTGTTAGTGTGAAAGAAGCTACTTTCATATATATTTGCACATACATGGAACTGCACTTAAGTTGTGACCCTCGGCGTATGCTATGAGTATAATTGTGGCCCCCGAGGCTTCCAAAGTTGAATAGCCTTGCCTTAAGCTATGCATAGGTTTAAGTGCTTTTCTGGATCATGGTCCTCATTAGTAAACATTTGACATGGAGGGAAATCCTTTCTTGCTCTCTTTCTCCTGTTCTTATTTAACACATTGAGATGAACCTCCTTGAAAAAACCTGGCAGTTTTAGCAAGGAAGCTATAGCATGGGGATCTGTGGTTTAGTTAACTTCAATAGGTGAACTTGATTAGTGCTGTCTTGTATCTTTTGTCTCCTTGGGACAAGGCATCCTAGTCTCTTGTTAGGAATATTTTATAGAGGACTCTGTTATAGCATAGCACAAGAAAGGGGCACTATCAATATTGTTATGATTAAAGATTTACCTACATAAGTAGTTATCCTGTCTTGCAGTTCTTGCCTGAAGAATTCCCGGCATATAGCTCTTGTGTTATGTACACACACACACACACATAACAAAAAACAGGACTACGTAGCACTTTAAAGACTAACAAGATGGTTTATTAGATGATGAGCTTTTGTGGGCCAGACCCACTTCCTCAGATCAAATAGTGGAAGAAAATTGTCACAACCATATATACCAAAGGATACAATTAAAAAAAATGAACACATGTGAAAAGGACAAATCAGATTTCAGAACAGAAGGGGGATGCTTCAAAGGCCTTTTAAGACTATACTTGAAAGAGAATTCTCTGAACTGTCATTCATGCTTAAATTCGACACTTTACGCCTAAGTTTGAATAAAGACCCTAATTATCTTACCCATTACAAAGATAGCTTCCCCAGTTATTACCTCTAATATCATTAGCTCACAGACATTTACCTCCCCCCCCACCCCCGTTCTGTTCTGAAAGCTGGCCCACGAAAGCTCATCACCTAATAAACCATCTTGTTAGTCTTTAAAGTGCTACATAGTCCTGTTTTTTGTTTCAGCTACACCAGACTAACACGGCTACATTTCTATCACTACACACACATAACTGATTCTTATCCTTGTTGTAGCAGGAAAAATACAAAAACAAATGTTTGGCTTGATGTGTGAATCTTCATAAATAACCCGGTGCACCTAGTTCATGATGCAAGTCTATATGCACCCCATTGTATTTACAAGTGAGTTCCACACTAAGCTGGGCCTTTGTTTTTAACTTCTATTTTAGCTGCTGCTGCAATGGATCAGTTTGAACTGAAAAACACCCTCTATACTTGGAGCTCTTAAGGTAAGAATTTCAATATGGGCAACTGGCAGAGTATAGAAGATCAGTTTTTAAGCTTAAATTGAATAGTGTCCCTTTTTTCAAGAAGGCTCTCCTATTACAAAGAGGGAGATCTTACAGAACCTCTAGATTCATAGCATTCACCTTTAGCCTCAAAACAAGTAGTAGCTGGTGGCATTTGTGTATTTTGGATGAACATGAAGGCTGTGTTCCCTGTAAGCTGTGCACTTGTGCAACTGCTCAGGAGAGATTCAAATGCTGCCCAGCTGATTAGCAGTGCGCTCACAGGTAGGTTTTGTTTTTACTGGTGGTGCACATTTCATATGCCTTGGTGCACTTAAAAATGATTCTGCACATGGGAAAGATGAGAGGGAACATTGCACACAGGGTATTTGTGTCTCTAGAAGCCATTTAGAAATGGTTTTCAATAGTGTGAGAATGGGTGGCCTTAAAGTATTTGGTTCCTGGATGCTGACAGCAATGAAGGAAAATCAAATCTCTATTGATTTTTGGCCCCACAGATGGCTTCCCACAGCACATGAGTGCATTAAATCTGTAAACTTCTAGTGAGATATTGTATTTCTCTTAAATTCAGAGAAATGTGGGTTTATTTAGATTTCTGCAAAAACTAACTGTGTGGTTCCATTGGGTATACAGGCAGTCCCCGGGTTACGTACAAGATAGGGACTGTAGGTTTGTTCTTAAGTTGAATTTGTATGTAAGTCGGACATAAAGTATTTGGTACATATTTGGGGGGGTGGGATGGGGAGCTGGAGTTAGGTGGAAAAGACCCTGATTCTCATACAACTTCCTTATTCTAAGAAAAACACATACTGTTTTGATATGAAGGTTTTTTTGGTTGATATTTTAATTAAAAATTGATCATAAGTTTCAGTGTTTCTTGCTATACCCAAATCTTCCTTTTGGGGTACCTGAAAGATCCCAGTTATTCATTTAATAGTCAGAATCTTTGGTTTTTATAACTAAAAAAAGTTTATTCAATGCATATTACTGTTCCAAATAGAATTTGCTACAGATGGTTCAGTGAAATGGGTATTAAGTGTAATCAATAGTCATTGAAGAGCACAGTGAGATATTGATACAATCAAAGCTGCTGTTGTATTCTACTGAGCAGAAAATGGAAATCCCTTCCTGTGAAGCGTGTGTGTGAATTTATCACAGGATTAATTTTAAAGAAAAATTCTATGTTGGGAACAGGAGTTTAGCCACAGGTGGGTCCTCATTGTCCACTCACCCACTTTGCAACCAGACCCATCCCCTCGGGGCTTACCCTGCTCCGCTCCAGCCAGGGTGTGGGGTTGGGACTTATCCCCTCTTCCCTTCTGTCCTGCTCCTCCCCATTCTTGCCCACCCACACCACTGGGTAATTTTTCAGCTTCACCTCTGCCAGG